GGAGAGATGCCTCAGTGGTTAAGAGCACCATTTGTTCTTCTAGAGGCCCAGGTTCAATTCCCGATAACCACAGGACGGCTCACAACCATCTATACTAAGCTCGGGCGCCCTCTGCTGGGGCACAGGTGTACATGCAGACAGAACACTATGAATAACAAATATTTAAAAAATAAAGAACTTGATTGTGTGTGTGTGCAATCACATGCATGCTTCCTACTACACACTTGTGGAGTACATGTGTGCTCTACTGCACACACACACTTTTCCAGAGTGAGGCCCTTCCACCTTGATTTCGGGGCAGGGTCTCTCTTCTATCACTGTAGTTTTGAGCTTCTGGCCAGGTCTCCTTTCTTTTTGCCCCATCTGCCGTAAGAGTGCTGGGGCTAGAGTTACAGCAATCTGCCTTTTTTTTTTTAAATTAGTTTTCTTGGTTTTTTTTTTTTTTTTTTTCTTTCGAGACAGGGTTTCTCTGTGTAGTCTTGGCTGTCCTGGACTCAATTTGTAGACCAGGCTGGCCTTGAACTCACAGAGATCCGCCAGCCTCTGCCTCCCCAAGTGCTGGGATTACAGGTGTGTGCCACCATGCTTGACTGGGCTCCTTTCTGTTTTTGTTTGTTTTATTTATTTATTTATTTATTTATTTTGGAGACTTATTTACTTGTATTTTATGTGCATTGGTGTTTTGCCTGTATGTACATCTATGAAGGTGTCAGATCTCCTGGAACTGGAGCTACAGACAGTTGTGAGCTGCCATGTGTGTGCTGGGAACTGAACTTGGGTCCTCTGGAAGAGCAGCCAGTGCTCTTAACCACTGAACCATTCTATAGCTCCAAATCTTGCTTTCTTTTTGTATGTTTGCTTTTGTTTTTGTAGGCAGGGTTTCTCTGTGTAGCTCTGGTTGTCCTGGAACTCACTCTGTAGACCAGGCTGGCCTCAAACTCGAACTCACAGATCTGCCTGCCTCTGCTTCAAAGTCTTTCTCTCTCTCTTTCAGATCTTGCTTTCTTATCCCAGGGATCAAACTCAGGTCATCAGACTTGTATGGAAAGTGCTTTTACTCACCGACCCTTGTCCCCCATGTTTGTTAGTTTGGGCCTTAAACTCACAGTACTTCTCCTGCCTCAGCCTCCTAAGTGTTGGGATTACAGCTTTAACACCACCACACCGGGCTGTTGTAGTGCTGAATCAGACAGTAAAGGATAAATGTGTATCTTCCATCACCCTAGACAACCTGTGACCCTGAAGGGGCTGACAGAGGGATTAAAGGCCACTGCCACCTGGCTTCACATTTTATACATTGTTCTTATGAAAAGGTACAAAGGTAAAAAGAGGCCTCTCCTCTCCTCAGGCAGGGGCAGCCATGAGGCTCTTCCCACTTGACTCGGCAGCACAGCTAAGAATAGTTTTTCTGTCTTGCTCTGGGAGTGAGCAAGCACATCCTTCATTTTAGAAACTGAGGTTCAGAGAGGCCTAGAGGCATGGTGGTCACACAGCTAGGAAGAGGGCAAGCCACGGTGGGTTCCTTTTTCTTTTGCCGACTTACCTCTGCCTCCCAGGGGAGGGCTTAAGAACTAGAATTTGAAACCAACAGGCAAATTCTGCCCATTGTATGTATCTAAGACACCAGCGCTTGGGAGGCTGACAGGGGTGACCATGGTCTGAGGTCAGAGAGGGCTACAGAGTGACATTCTGTCTCAAAGAAGCCAGCAGACGCAGTCCTTCTTCATGGAGTCATCTTACCCTCCATTTTGATAAACTCCACAGCCAGGAAGTGGTGGCACACACCTTTAGTCCCAGCACTCAGGAGGCAGAGGCAGGTGGATCTCTGTGAGGTCCAGGTCAGCCTGGTCTGCATAATGAGTTCCAGGACAACCAGGACTATGTAGAGAGACCCTACCTCAAAACCCCCAAAATACAACCAACCAACCAACCAACCAACCAAGGCAAAACTCTGAGGAACCATGCTTTTTTGTCTGCCTGCCCTCTATGGCAGCACTAACTTTTCTTTCAATCTTCTGGTCCAGCCAAGCAAAAAGAACCCTGCTTCGCCACTGTTAAAGGGGCAGACATGGTTCTATTCCCAGCACTCACAGATCACAACTGTCCCCAGCTCCAGGGGCTGCAGCACCCTCTTGTGGCCTCCGTGGTTCCTGCACATATGATGCATAGACACACGTGTAGACGAAACACTTATATACACCCAATGAATGTGTTAAATGAAAAATTTAATGCTTTAACTTATCAATTGAGTCTCGTGGATGTACAACATATATTTCAAGTGTATTGACTCCCAGTCCACCCTCCAACTCATCTGACATCTCTGCTCCACACTCTGCTATCAATTTAAGGCCTCCCTCCGTCCCCAACACCTTCGGTAGTTCTGGCTGTCCTGGAACTCACTCTGTAGACCAGCCTGGCCTCGAACCTCACAAAGATCCGCCTGCCTCTGCCTCCTGAGTGTCGGGATTAAAGGCACTGGCAAGCACATCTTCCTGGTTCCTTTGATTTTTATTTATATTTGGTGTTCGGGTCTGTGAACCACTTGCAGTACCTAGAGAGACCAGAAGAGGTCGTCGGATCCCCTGGAGTTGACAGCACTGTGAGCCGGCCTGCGGAGCTGAGGCTTGAACCCGGGTACTCTAGAAGAGCAGCCCGTGTTCTTAACCGCGGAGCCATCTCCCCAGTCCTGACATTTGAACTTTGAGACAAGTTCTCACTCCATAGTTCAGGCTGATCTGGAACTCACTATGTTTCCAAGCTTAAACTTTGAGCAATCCTCCTGCCTAAGTCTAGTGCCAACAGGCCTTAAAGGCGCGTCTCACTACGCTCAGCTGAAATGCTTACTAATGGTATTTATCCAATTAATAGATGCTTGCATGGCCCAGCGACGGACGCCAGAAAGCCATAAAATCCTGTCCTTGACAAACATTTGGCGTATTTAGCTAAAACAGTGTGTGTGTGTGTGTGTGTGTGTGTATATATATATATATATATATATTTTTTTTTTTTCCCCTTAACTATTCCTCAGAACTCAGGCAGAAAAGCCACGGAAGAGTACAGAGCAAAGATAAGTGAAGGAACTGAAGCAAATAAAATAATTAAGCAATGTGTCACGGCAAAAATTAATACCCAAGCAAAGGAAAAAAAAAAGGCTTAAGACGAAATGGCTGAAATATTTACTCAGCTAAAATCATTAAACATCGAAGTGACCTGAGTAAAACACAGCTATATAAAACTAACTGGTTAGGTAAGTGGAACAAAGCGAGAAGAAACGAATAAACTGGAAATAAACGAATAAAGCCGGCTCCCTTCTCAGAGAGGCAACCTGGGGGATTTGAGGGTGGGTGGGGGACAGGCGGGTGCGCTGTGCTGCCGCTAGGTGGCGCTGGGGTCCCCGGGGGTCCCGGGCTGCACCCCGAGCCCCTGGCCCACCGCGAGCCTGGCTTCCCCCGAGCCTCTGGCTGCCCCCGAGCCTCTGGCCCACCCCGAGCCTGGCTCCCCCCGAGCCTGGCTGCCCCCGAGCCCCTGTCCCACCCCGAGCCTGGCTCCCCCCGAGCCTGGCTGCCCCCGAGCCTCTGGCCCACCCCGAGCCTGGC